AATCACTACCACAAATACACAAGTAAGAACAAAACACACTAATAAAACAGAAATGCAAATGCGAATGATGAAAGAAACTAAATCTTAGCACCTCAAAAAAACCCACAAACATTGGACCAATAATTAAAGGAGAAGAAAGGAACAAATTATAAAACATCTACACAAAATGCCATAAAATGCTAGGAATAAAACAGTACATCCAATAACAACCCTAAATGAAAATGGTTTAAACTCCCCACTCCAAAGACAAAGACCCAACTATATGGTGTCTTCAAGTGACTCATCTCACCAGTAAAGATGCGCACAGACTAATAGTGAAGGGATGAGAAAAGATATACCACATACATGGAAACCAAAAATGGGCAGAAGTAGCTATTCTTATGTCAGATAGAATAGACTTTAAACCAAAAACCATAAGAAGACAAAGAAGGCCATTATGTAATGATAAAAGGATCTATCCAACAAGAAGACATAACAATCATAAATATACATTCACCTGACACTGGAGCACCCAGATATATAAAGAATACAGTATTAGATCTACAGAAAGAGGTATACCCCAATGCAATAATAGGGGGGTACCTGTACATACCCCTTTCATCATGGACAGATTATCCAGGTGACAAATCAACAGAGAAACACAGGATTTAAACAACACTTCACCCCTATTGTACCTGGCTGATATCTACAGAGCATTTTATCCAACAACTACAGAATAGATATTCTTCTCATCAGCACATGAAACATTCTCCAAGATAGACCACGTTAGGTCACAAATTTGGTGTCAATAACTTTTAAAAAATTCAAAATCATTTCAACTATCTATTCAGACCACAATGTCTTCTTGCTGGATAGACCACATTGAGGTATCACCTTGTCCCCGTTATACTGGCTATCATCACAATGACAGAGAATAACAAATCCTGGTGAGAATATCGAGAGCTATCCAAGAGCTCCCCTTAGAAGGTGAAACTCATTTAGACTTTCCTCACCTGCCATGAGAAAGGTTCCTGACTCCACAACTGCACCCACCCAACTGTTCAGGTTTTAATTGATGATCCTTTCCTGAACTGATGATTCTAAACTAAATTATCCCAAATTGATGATTCTGTGTTTCTTAGTTAGGATTAGTCAGTAATGAAGACTATTTTGAAATTAAGACAAACAAACTGCATGACAATGATAAACACTCAATACTTTCAGACTTGTTTCTGTACTTGGTATTATCATTCCAGAACAAGTCATTTGTAACTAGATCAGAAGTTTATTTACCAAATCTCTATAAACAGATATATTTCAAGTGTCAACAGAGACTTCCATTTAAAACCGTAATCTATATATGATGTATGTGAAAACCGAAGTGATGAAATAGAGCAGCAAGTAAGGACAGACAACAACATCACAGCTTGATGATAAGGAGAACAGATTTAGAAGTTTTGGCACCAAGTTCCCATGTACTCAGTACTTCAAATGCTATTGGAGGCCACATGAGCAAGATCACTGCCACTGGCCTTAAACTCATCCGTGTTTATGATGTGGTCTGTCTGTCTGGAAATGTTATTGCTCTTCTTTGGACGTGAGTTTTCTCATCTGTAGACCAAAGAGAATGGACCAAGTGATTTCCATCATTCCTTTCACATCCATGACTTTTTTTTAAATAACTCAGTTTAATTATGTCTGTTCATTCCAGGGCACAACCATATTTCCATCACTGACCTCGGTGCTACATGATGACAAAGAATTCCCCAACCCAGAGATGTTTGACCCTGGACACTTTCTGGATGAGAATGGCAATTTTAAGAAAAGTGACTACTTCATGCCTTTCTCCACAGGTAATAGAAATTCACTATCATTTGTACATCAGGAGACAAGATCAGTTTTTGAGAACACTTGGAACTCACATGGTGCCTCCTCTGGGCTGGTAGAATTGTTCTTTGTACTTGATCAGAAGCACCATTCCCAACACCCACATTCTTTCCCTGCTCATGATACATCCTCATTCTCAGGCAATATTAATAGGGGGTTGACTGAATCCTTTCAAACTGAGAAAGTCAGAGTATAGGCTGATTGAATTCTGAATGTAGATGCTTCATTGAGCTACCCAAGAGCTCCTCTTAGATGGTGAAACTCATTTACACTTTCCTCACCTGCCACGATAAAGGTTCCTGACTCCACATCTTGGACTGGTGTCTGTGGGATGTTGCTCGCCATCCCCCCACCCCCATCCCAGGCTGAGCTTTGAGGATACAAGTATCCACAGGCATAGAATAGGTACCAAAGGGCTTCACACAAATTAGGGAAGCAGATGAGTAAAGAGATCATTTAATCCATTTGAACTAAAGCTATGAGAGAGGAAAGCACCGGCTGCTGGTCAGATAGTGGTAGGGTAGAAGGTACCTGCTGTTTTCTCTTTCATACCCCACAGGGAGGCATAACATGGAGTAGCAACATTCTAATAGCAGAAATAACGTTTGAGTTGCCTCAAAGGGGGCAGAGAGAATGGGAAGTAGAAAAGGCAGGATATTTTTAAGGAGATAATGAATGACAGGAGTAGAATATTTGCCTTAAATCAAAAACATCAGAAGCTCTTCCAAATAACCCAGGGGGTCAGAGGAACACAGGGAATGTCACAGGATAACCTACAAAGCTTCCAGAGTACCCTGCTCTTCTTCCAGTCTTGATCATATATCTTGGATATGGGGTCTCCACCCCTGTGATATGTGTGCTAAGTCTCTGGCCATGAAATCTGCTTCCTTTATTCTGTGACCTTTGATGTCTGCTTCATATCTAGTACTGTGGATAACCGATGATGAGGACAGGGAACACCACTCCCTTCAAGAATTTACATTTTAGCACAATAGAGATATAAATAAATAGAGAATTATGACTCCCAGTTATTTATGTTTCAACAGAAGCATGAATTTATGTTGAGATAACCATGAAAGGACAAAAATTTATAGCTTGAGGGGATCTTGAAGAGTGTAAAGAGGAAATGAAATTTCACCGAGAAGCTGAATGTAGTATAAGAAAAGTAAGTCTTGGCAAGAAGGACTAGCATGAGATAAAATGTGAAACTTCATGGCATGTTAGAGATTGTTAATAGTGTGCATGGCTGCAGCTAAGAATAGAGGGTGTGAAGAGTGGAAGGAAGGATCAGGGAACTTCAGACTGGGAACAGGATACATATTGTGGGTGTGTTTCTACAAAAATACAGATGGAAATTCAAAATATCAAAAAATTAGTTATAGGGCCGAACCCGTGGCGCACTCAGGAGGGTGCAGCGCTGGGAGCGCAGTGGCGCTCCTGCCGCAGGTTAGGATCCTATGTAAGGATGACCGGTGCCCTCACAGCGCTCACTGGCTGAGCGTGGTGCGGCCAGTCTCAAAAAGGACAAGAAAAAAAAATCAGTTATAAAGTGGGAATACATAATAAAGTACTTGGGATGGGGCTCATAATAAGTATTTGTTGAGTGGTGCCTGTTAAAAACAGATGTTAAGTGGATAGCAAGTGTGTACGTCCTTTGTCAATTTATCTCTTCAGCCATTCTTCCAGCCATTCTGCCTTCTATCTATCCATCCATCCATCCACCCATCCATCTACCCAATCATTCATCAAACAGTTACTACATATTCCTTTTCTGCCTGCCACAAACACAGTATTTGTTACAATCACAGTTACACACAGAAAGTAACTACCCTCTGTGCTTGTTATTTTCAGGCAAACGGATCTGTGTGGGAGAGGGCCTGGCCCGCATGGAGCTGTTTTTATTCCTGATCACCATTTTACAGAACTTTAACCTGAAATCTCTGGTTGACCCAAAGGACCTCGATACCACCCCACCTAACAGTAGATCACTTTCTTTGCCACCCTCGTACCGGATCTGCTTCATTCCTGTGTGAAGAAGGGCAGACTGTCTGCTGCTGCTTTGCTGTTTTCTGCAGCTCCCTCTCCTCTGAGGCATCGTCCACCTCCTTCCCAATCTCAAGGATGCCTTTCTGACTTTGCACATCTCCCCATTCTCTCAAGATCTAGTGAACATCCAAACTCCAAATGAGAAGATTTCCTGAGTTTCACTGCACACATATGCCTGCTATTTCCTATACTTGCTAATACTTGTATTTCTCAGCAAATAAGCTGATACCTATTAAGAAGTTATTAATACACATAAAACAAAATAAAATGATTTGTATGTCATACTTCAAAGCCATTTCTCTTCTGTGTGTTCTAAATAAGAAGTATTATTAATTGCTGGGTTAGTTCTCAGCCTTTCCCTCTTTTGTGTATAATGTTGGTAAGAAAAGTAAGAAAGTAGAGTCTCAAGAAGCCATGCTGGTCCTCATAATGATAAGCACAGAGAGAGACAAAGGGGACAAAGGTGGAGAAGCTCTCTTGGCTGAGTATCACTTAGAGGTTCTCAAGGTTTGGATTTAAAAGAGAGAAACTATGTCCACGAGCAGCTCTAACCTGTGGGGAAACATTGAGAGAGTTACTCATAGGGAGAAATGAACATTAAGTGTTTGAATTCATGACCCTGCTTTGGTGTTACTGAAAGCACTAAATGATAATTTCAAATATTATTTGTACTTACAACA